GTAGATTTTCGGATAAAAATACGTTAGGGTGTTTAAGCGGCCATACACATGAGCTTTTGAAGAGTTTTGAAATTTTCATGTTACAGACTGGGCGAAAACGTAAACCGGAACGGTGTGTAGCTTTAACAAGGAAGCATCACCTCCTGCATTAAAGATATTTTTTTTTATTTTATAAACTAGTAGTTTCTTAGTTTTATAATTTTAAACATGCATTTTAGTTTTAACTGAACATAGAAAGTAAAAGCTTCAAAATAAAGGCTTGATTTGAAGTAATAAGGGAAACGTTGTGCCTAGAAAATCTAACAATTCCTGTGGATCTAACAAAATAGATCCATTTTTGAAGCCGCAAACTGTAAAACTTCATAAGAAATTAATTCCGATATTAAATTCGGTATCAAAGGCGTTTTCAGGACATTATTTGGATATCATGCATAGAAACTTGAACTTTCTTTAACTGTCACCTGTCATCAAAATTGCAATCAAAGCGCAATGCTGTAATTATTCATTTTAATTAAATACAATTAAACACGAAATTGCACTTCACCACATACATTAGCGCCGGAAATATCCAAATTCGGTGATTGACATTGTGGTGCGTAATGGATGCATGTTGGAATTCCATTCTCTACTATTGTTCAAAGTGGTTTATGAGAGCGATCAGCATTCAGTAGTTGCGACTCAAAGCAGCATTTAAGTGAAGGTCAAAAGTGGCGAATAAATGGTAGAATCGAAGGAGGTCAAACACAAATGGAGGTTGCCCAAGATTTGAATATCCCTCAAAGTGTCATAAGCACTGGATCAGTTGATACACGATCTGCTCAAAGGCGACCAAGAGCAACAACTGCATCAAAAGGCCGTTTTCTGCCGTTGTCGACTCGAATAAACTACGACTACAAGAGATTTGGTTTTATACCTTCAGGCTGCCACAGAAACTCGAATTAGCCGTTCTACTGCTACACAAAGTCTCAACGAAGTTGGAATTTATGCAAGAAAACTAATGGTTTATTATGTCCCACTCACTTCAGCTTACAGAAGGGTCCTTTTGAACTGGTACCGTCGTTTTGTTCAATGGAACCAAGACGACTTGGCCTGAGTATTGTTTTTACTGAAGAGTCCAGATATAGTTTGAGCAGTGGTTCTAGACGTGTTTTGATCTAGAAAGAGGCAGGAACACGCAACTTGCCTTCCCTTTTCCGTGAAATTTCGCGTTTACACGACCGCGGTTGATTTGGGAAGGATCATGACAAATGGCCGCATTCAGCTGCATATCTCTTATGAAGGTTCTATATCCGCTGAACGAGGTATTGAAACCCCAAGTTAGACTGTTTGGGTGTTGTTGGTCAGAGTGTTTGCTAATGGATGACAATGCTCGGCCTCATCGAGCATATTTGGTATTAGAATACTTGCAAAATATCACTCGAATGGATTGGCCACCTGACTGTAACACGACTGAACATGTGTGGGATGCTAAAGGCGCCGAATTTCCGGTGGGCCTAATTCTTCCCTGAACCCTTTAGAAGCTGAAAACTGCACTTTTAGAAAAGTAGCGTGCAATTCTACAAGATCAAAACTTTTGCAAAATCTATGAAATGAAGACGTGAGGTATGCGTATCTGTCGAAAGTGACCATGCACCATATTAAAGAAAATATTTTCCATAAGAGGCGATTTAATTTATCCACCATTTTACAGTTTCCATAAATTTAGTTTTAATTGCAATTGTTTGTCAATAATCAACAGCCAAGTATTATAATTTATGTTAATTAATGCTTTTGCACAAATTTCTATTTATAATTTTTCATTAAGTATCAGTTACGATTTATTTCTATCATTCTTTAATTCTGATAATCAGTGTATATATGTTTCAGTACTGACATGGTAAATATTATGTTTTAATGGACAACTCGTCTTTTTAAGCATATGAACAATTCATATTATAATACAGCTGCTGCAACTACTGAAAAATATGTGGACTTATTTTAATTGCTAACTTAATCAAAGCCAAGGGCAGAATTATATTTATTTCACAGATATTAAATTTTGAAATGTAAAAACGGCAATCCAAAGATAATTTTTAATATTAATATAAAAATAATAAATTATACGGAATTAAATAAATATCAAATGAGTTAAGAAAATTTATAAACAAAGTATTCGCTTAAAAATCAATGACAGAAGACGAAAAGTAGCTAATAATAAAACACGATACAGAAAAATGAAAGTGAAAATACAGGCTTTAACGTCATTTAATGTCTTTTAGTATTTAAATACAAACAGCAGTAATTTTTGTCGAATATTTAAGAATAATTCTTGTAAATTAAATTTCGTTTTCCTAGACACCAAAACTTTCGTATGTCTGGATTTCCTTGTATATATTATTGAAGTTTTCTAAATTCGAATAAATCGCTTATATTTACAAAACAATATTTTAAAGAAAATAATCTTCCATACTATATGATGAGTATTTATATAATGCATGGGTGACCAACATCTGCACATATGAGGCCAATTTAATATGCAACATTGACCTCACAATCCTCTTAATGTTGTACTTTGTTATCACTTCGTAGCAATTATTGGAATGATAATAATAATAATAATAATGATAATAATACAGCTTATTTCTATATAATACTATTACTTTAGCAATCTTGCTTTTTAAGCATGAAGAAAGGAGATGAGGACTTTGGCGAACGCCATTTCCTCCAGTTTCGTGAGGTATTATTACTTATTTCAAATAATTTTGATTTATTGTGTTGCCATACCAGGATCGATGGAAATTCTAATGATATTTTAAAATTTTAATGATATAGTTTATATTTAATATAAGTGCTGAAATGATTCTAAAATGAGAAAAAATATGAAACTATTTACCTTTAAAGAAGTTCTGCAGTTATTAAAAACAAGAATATAATAAATTTTGATATCTTAAAATGGAAGCAACAAAAACGTGCGTCGAGAGAAGCTTATTCCTCATCTAAGATATTCATCTGTTATTAAAATGTAAATTATCTATTGTTATAAATATCTATAAATATTTAAATACTTTTATTGCATTCTTGTTTTTCTATACTTTTGTAGTATATGTATATTTTGAGTTTTTTATTTATCTGTTGCTTTTAAGGTGCTAATTTTAGAGTTTTTTGTGTGTCTAGTTAAATCTGTGACAATATATTTAAGTGCTTATTTCTTATATACAATTATAAAACTTTGAATTTTGAATAAAACAACGTTTAAATTTTGGAAATATATAAGCCAAAACGCGAGATATGGACAAATAAAATCCTGTGTGCTTTGGTAAATCAGTATATGTTCGTAATGTTGATATAATTTGGATATTTTTCGCCGGTTTGGTGACTTTCTGGAAGCTTCGGAAAAATACATTTTCGAAGCCTTACGATCGTTTTTTCCCCAAGCTTCCAGCGAGTAAATACGGTTAAATATTATTTAAATGCAGCTTCGAGAACTTTAGAGCTCAAGTAGTATTATCCCAGCTGTGTGATTTAACGGCGTTGAATGGCTACTTAGAGTTCACTTTGTGAATGACTTTGGGGAATCGATGATACTTCTCGTGCTTTAAGGAGGTGGTGTAGGTGTTGGTGTATTTAATTATGGCAAAGCACACGAGGGCTATCTGCCTAAAGGGAAGGGATGCCTTCGTGGAGTAATTTCTAAGTTCAACTGGCTCGTATACACGTTACACATGGAACCACGAAAACGCCCACGCAGCTAGCCCGTTCGCGGGATTCGAACCCCGGATACCAGTGTTCAGCGACTTTACCGCTCGGCCGCTGGCTTTAAAGAGGAATCGTTTAGTATTCACGTCCTCCTTTAGCTACTAATTGTGTTATGTGTCGAACAAATTGTCCATTTCGTCCTGCTTATTTGGAATGAATATTTAAAAAAGATATTCAATATTCACAACAGTGTGCTGAGGTATCAATATGTTTTTCAGCTATGCTGAGGCATCAATATGTTTTTCAGCAAGCTTTCAGCGGCTACAGCAGAAACTTTACTGAAAAATAAGATTATTTTTAAAACTGAAATACAATAGGAGAATCTACTTATTTTTATTTTTTTTTTTGACGTAAAAGGACTATACATTAGAGAAAGTATGTTGTGCTACGGTTGCGGAGAGGGAAGTCGAAAACCATTCAAATAAATTTTAGTATGATTAAATAACATATAATACAAAGATATATTATAATGCATGCTTTTGCACTTAGTTTCGCACTCTGTTTTGCACAGAGTAATACTTATTTATTTTAGTTATTGTGGGTCATAAAAAGTATCCGTGGCTTTTACCCTCGATTACTTTCGTTAAACCATGGTTCTTCATTGTAATTTCCTTCTTGTGGAATGAAATATATGGAAAAAAATAATTCTTAAATATCATCATTTCTGTCTCTCAAGCAGTTTTGAATTTAGTTTTCAAGCAGTTTTGAATTTTTATAAAATATAATAATTTTGATAAATTTTTGTTGATTAATTTTTCAGTTATGCTATTTTCTCGGGAAGTGAAATTGGAGAAATGTATAATAAACAAACATTATTGAAACATTATTATTTTGTACAATTAACATTTTAAAATGTATAATAAACAAACACTGCTGCCCCACGTGGGAAAGTTTTTAGTGATTTACTGCCGTACCGTAGGGAACGGATTCGAATCCCGGAGAAGGCATGGATGTAAATTGTCTGTCCCCACATAGAAGGTAACAGTGGTCCACTTATTAAGTGCCTCCACATTGTGTCACAAGTCACAGCTTCCGGCCTTAGCAGTGGCGAACACCTCTAACGGCTATTTCTCGCCAATGGAAATAATAAACAAACAGAAATTAAAAATTATTTAATGATAGGTCAAAAAAATCTTGAACTCGAAAGTAATTTCTAAAATATTTAGGATCTTCATCTATCGGATTTTCGAATGAACTTCGCTTGAGAAGGATTTGTTACCCAGAAATTTCCAAAAATGAATAGGAAATAATTAAAAAATGCAAACTGGCCCGTGGGGGGATCGAACCCGCGACCTTCGCGTTATTAGCACGACGCTCTAACCAACTGAGCTAACGGGCCACACTTAAGCTTCTAACTAATTCAAACAGACTAATAACCCTCAGTTCTGGATAAAGACTATATTCCAGAGTTTTTCGGGGGCCCCCAGGGGCCGAGCGGTAAAGTTGCTGAACACTGGTAGTTCGGTTCGAGGTTCGAATCCCGGGAACGGGCTGGCTGCATGGGCGTTTTCTGGTTTTCCCCATGTGTAACGTGTATACGAGCCAGTTTCCCTTAGAAAGTCCTCCACGAAGGCATCCCTCCCCTGAGGCAGATAGCCCTAGTGTGCTTTGCCATAATTAATTAAACCAAACCAATCCAGAGTCTTTCGAAAGACAGAAAATTACATAGCGCCATCTACTGAATGGTATGAGAAATTTTTCCGAGAATTCGCTTATTTTATAAAATTATATACTATTTTAAAAGAAATAATTGAGATAAAAGTTGTTTTTCCCCTTTATTACTTTTGGAGTTATAATTAAAATTTAATATATATATTATTATTATTATATTTTGGAGTTGATTTTTTTGGGTTAATACATTTTTAAGAATTTCTAAAATGTTCACATGTGAATTAATTCATCGCATAAGGAACTTTGCAAAAGATGACATACCGGGCCTTAACTAAACAAGAGGTGACCTTCCCTGTATTTGTCTTTGGTGGTTATGTGTATGAATCACGTGATACGTCCATCTGACGTAAATCATCAATTTGACGAATTTTGTTGATACTACTATGGTAGCAACAATTAGATGATAGAGTATCTGTGGGGGGTCATCTTGTACGAAATATGATAGGAATAATCCTCGCAATGCTATTCCATCATTTTGCTGAATTGTGATGGCACTGTGTCAACAATGGGGTTGAACATCTGGTGACGTTGAGATATATTAGGACAGTGTTTGCGCGAATAAAAATAAGAGATGGCCTTCAGTGTTGTTTTATATCTGATTATAGTAGCAAAATGATGACTTGATAAATGTGGAATAGGAGTGCTTCGATTGACAGATTCTAAACACGATCGCTTGAACTGCTTTTTAAATACGTTTCAAGTACAATGAAGATCATCGAGGAAATGATAGCTCCTCTTCAGGACTACATCAAGGCATCCTTCGGGTAATATTATATATTTAATAGGATAACATGGTAATGTAACAATGTAATAAATCTTCGGACAATATAATAAACTAAGTACGTATATATATATATTTTTTGTATTTGTATTTATTTATATACTGCTGCTTTTTTTATGGTTTAGTACGGTAAGTTTACCACTTTCTTTGGTTTCGAGCACAGTTCACGGCGAAGGTCACGAGACGGGTTATAGGTCTCATACTGGCGTTTTACTTCCTTTCTTATAAAATGGCTACTTACCAAAAATAAAAATCTCAAAGATTTCAGATTTTACATTACGCCCAAAGTGGCGTTTTTTTTTTTTTTTTTTTTTTTTTTTTCATTTACAGACATACACGTTCCGAGGCTAATGTCACTTTGGGCTAAAATTATTTAAAAACATCATATCTTTAGAATTTCCGATAGACAGTCTCGCGCGTTGGAATTAAAAATGTTTTACAGTGTTCCCATTGCTGGCATTGAAATCGTTGATTTTGTTAATCAAAAATTCGTTAAAGTTTTACAAAATATGAAAGAGACAATAAAATAAATTCCAAATTCGAGCTTCTAGGTGCTCATATTTGGGCGGAGGACTACATTATTCAAAATTGGATGGCTCTAGGTACAATTGTTTTTTCACAGTGCGAGAAACATACATACATTTATGCAGATTCTTCATTATTTAATTTCCGTAAATATAATACAGGGCGATAATATTTACTGGCAACAATTTGAAAAGCAATACAACGGTTTTAGTGATTCAGTGCGAAAGGCAGTTTCGAGACTAATAGCCTTTCTGAGTTAACGTCCCTTTGGGTCTAAGAAAAAAAAACGCTAACGTTAATTCAGTTCCATACGATAATCAGTTATCGTAAATGAAATGGAAGAATATTATTTCCTGCTTTGCTCAAGTGACATATGTTAGATTTTGTTGCTTTATTATGCATTTATCTGCCAAACGATCCTGGCCATTAGAAACATTTGGCGAAACCTAAAATCTTTAATTTATTCTCCAAATTTAATCAATCTATCACTGGAAATAAACTGAGACATTTAAAAGCATTAAACACATTTTCTAAGCATTTAAATATTTATGTACTATTTTTCTTCAATAATAGTTCTAATTTATATAATTTAAAATCCTTTAATTTGATAATTTTATAGTTTCTATGAAAATTGGTAGTATTATTTTAATTAATAAAGTATACCTTTTATGTCATATATTTTATATTAGTTTCCATATTATATACACTATAACTATACTATATTAACTATATCTAAACTATACTATACTATATTATTACATATAGTTAATATATTTTATATTAGTTATCCAGTTTATTTTATTTTTCAAATTATAAACAGATCATTTTTATCAACGTAAAAATATGTAACGATATATGTAATGAACGTAAAAGTGAGCTAGGATAACTCGGTATCCTTACTGTATCAATTTAAAAATAGAACTAAGAAGCAAATCATTAAGTTGGAAGCTTATAATTTTTAAATTGTACCGACTATTAAGCATCCCTATTTACAGTATATAAGATAAAGTAAATATTTTATAATATATCGAAGGGGAATCACGTTAAAAATTGGTTGATTGCTAGCTCGGTTGATTTGGTTTGTCTGATTACGGCAAAAGGGAAATCTGCCTATGGGAAGGGATCTTAGGGAAATGATGCCTTCATGGAGGATCTTCGTATCCACATTACGCTTGGGAAAACAACAAGAGTAGCTAGCTCGTTCGATGGGATTTATATCTGAGTCAAACTGCCAACACTCAGATACTGTTCTTCATTTTCAAAGCAAAATCCTTCGCACTGAACTATATTTTTACAACGTTTTATAAATAATTCAAAAACCTGAAATATACTTTTTTGCGGTTTTCACTTATTCATTTGAACAGAACCCTTTTCACGCACTTGTCCTTTTTGATATTGAGAATGCCTAAAAATTATGTGTGTTAAAGGGGGGGGCCGTAGGGGAATATTCCAGTATTGTTTCAATCTTTTTCAGTCAGTATGCTGCAGTGTCGGGCATTCTCCTGAAGGGGGGACACTGTTTTTAAGCAAATACGGTCTTTATTTCTTCATAGATCTACGGAAATAGTTTTAAGAACGTTTGCATAAAAGATATCCTTCATTATCTACATAATAGTTTGACAATATTGCCATCCGTAAATGGTTTACTGAATATGCTTTGTCGATAGCAGGCGTATTATCATCATGAAAGTCACTCCACTCTAAAAGATAGTCAAATACTTCTGAGTGCCTCATTATTACATAAATGCCATAACTTTTCAATTGCTTCATTGCCGATCTTCCCAAGTACAACACAAAATTTACCCACACATCTGTCATATATTCATGTAGACCTTTTCCTTATCTGCCAACGCTTTAATATAGCCTTTAAAATAACTAATACAAGTTTCGCCCTTTCTAATTCAAGATAAGAGAAAAAAGATAATTTTAAATATTTTCAGTCAGGTGTTCTAGTATTGTGTCATACATCTAACAGATTAATTTTGAAAACAATTGGGTTAATATTATTACTCCTAAAAGATGTTCATAATGTCATATATTATGTAGCTTGAATGCTGGATAATCGGTTATTTACAGAAATAATGCTTGCTTGGATCTTCTATTAGATAATTCGATACTCTCAAATTGCTTTAAATAGTAATCCTTCCTCTTAACCCTTTACTATGACTTGCAACTGTTTAAGAGCTTTTTGTTTGTTTGCAGAGTAGACATAACCCTCGTAATTTAGTAACAACCTTTGCTAAATCTGGGGATTGCTTATTTATCTGACGCACGCTTATCAACATAAAAATAATTCCTGTTAAACCTGTAAATTTAAACCGAAAACTAATCCCTGCTGTTTAACCTTCCCTTGTTCTGATGAATTATCGTATTCGCAATAATGTAGATGTTTAATTAAACTTCAATAACCCAGACAAAGTTTAACTAAAAAGTTTTCTGAAACTATATTATTTTATAACGACCACATAAGGCGCCACATGGTTGATGACTGTCTAGAAAGCCAGGCTGAATAGTGGCCTGCCAAATTTCCTGACTTTAATTCTATTGAACATGCTTGTGATGCTCTTGGGAGGGCTATTACAATACGTCAACCCCCAACGCTATGCGAGAGTTAAAAACTGCTATTGTGGAGGAGAGGGTGCGACCTGCACAAGCACTTCTGAACTGGCTTGTTTAGGATGTAGATTAACAAATATTACATCACCGTTGCTTGCAGAATTTTTGGAACTCAAATATTTTTTATCCAACGGCGGGTGCTAATTTGTGTTTTTTCGACATTGGCCATTCTGAAGCCTGGAAGTGGTGGCCATTTTATTACGAAGGCACCTAATAGACAGCCATCGTTGCCTCCTATGAAGGGACGGACAGTTACAATCATGCCTTCTCCGGGATTCCGGTATCGTAGTCGGCTCTTCTAACCACTATACCATCTCAACTCAGATACTATTTGAAACAGTAAAACACAAAATCTAATCTTCAATTAAATAACTTGGCTTCAGATAATGGGGATTCTAAGCCCACGATATAAACAGACATAGAATTCGCTCATCAAATCACAGTTCGGCTAGGTGGAAGGCTTTTCGTCTAAGTACAAATAACTCGCCTTGGGATTTATACTCAAACTAATCTGCGTTCTGGTGAAGGCTGACAGAAGAAAAAGAAAGTATAGGAAAGAATTAGCATAAAAGTAACGATTTAAATAAAAATATTATAATATTAAATTAATATTAGCCTTAATTTTCTTATCTTTTATTACATAGTGTGCTTCTACGAAAGACAATAATGAACTATGAATTACTTATCATTCAAGCTTGGCTTTTGTTGTAAAAAATGCGGATAAAGATTTAATAATATAGATCTAA